AGGCCACAACATGAGTAACAAAGAAATAGAATTTCCGGAGGATGAGGCCCAGAAGGCGGGATTTTAAAAAGATTCCCAGGCGATTCTAATGTGCAGCCAAGGTTGAGAACCACTGCTCTAAGGGAAAAGAGGTCAGTGCCCCTGACTAAATAGTCAGGCATTGCGTATTTTAAAAATTCTTGCAGCACACAGGTTGAAAATCGCTGCCTTACACTGTTTTTTAGAAGTACGTTCTGAACTAAACAGACAAGTGTCTGGGGTTCGTCCTCAGGTAGCCCCCAGACATGTCAGAACAGACAAACACAGTGAGAATGTACTGTGAGAATGAGGGCTTCTGCTCCCTCTGGAACTGGGGACACAGGCTGCCGTCTTCAGGACATGCCATGCTGGGGAAGGAGATGAGGGAAGGGCAGGGAACACACAAGGCTTTCCTGTCACATTCACATCGCCTTTTTCCTGAGTGAGCATTGGCGCGGTTGGCACAAATCTTTAGCTCTTTCCCAGCGGTTAGGTAAAGTTGGTTCTGACTATCTTTGCTCGATTTGTCAATTTTTCTGGAGGGACAGGCCCTTTGAGCTACTGATTCTTCTATTTTCCCTGGCATCTGGGGTCTGAATGGGTGATTCTTACGTTCCTTGGTTAAACAAAAGCAAAAACTTCCCCCTCCCCTATTATTCCACAAATCTTTACTGAGAGTCTGAGGCTGTGAATAAAACAGAAACTGTCCATGTCCTTGTGGCCATCCTACTGTTGCTCCACTAAGATGATGTTAGGTAGTCATAGGTGCTAAGAAGTAAATGCTTGGCTGTAGGTGGTATGACCCATTTAGCCTGGTGGAGTCAGGGAGGGCTTCCCTGAGGAGGTGGCATTGCAGCTCAGACTGGAAGTAGAAGGGACGGGAGGAGACAAACAGAGAACAGTGCCCCAAGACCAGAAAGCACTCAGGGTTCAAGAGGCAGAAAGGAGGTGATGGGGAAGCAGTCAGTGCAGGCCACATCATGTGGGGTCCCTCTTCCCTTTGTAGCGTTGGCCTAGAATCTTAGCCTGAGGTCC